AATATATATATATATATATATATATATATATATATATATATATAATTGTTTCGAGAATAACAGGAATTAAAATAAAATATAAATTAAAGTTTAAATTATGCATTTTATTTTATGACAAACATTTTTAATTATATTAAATTAATAAAATAATTAATTAACTTTTTATTCACCATAAAAATGAACTATAAATAGACAGTGTTATGATGTGTCTCATGCTCATATTGCAATTAAAAAAAAAGAGTTCTGACTTCTGACTTCCCTTTCCCTTTTTAACCCCGACCCTTTCTTAGAGTCCTCACCTTTCTCTTTCACAATATCCTTTTTTATTTCTTTTTGTTTTCTTGTTCCTCTTATGTGTGGCAGCGGGCTGAGGCGTGCCATCAGAAACTGGAGACGGAGGTGTTGGCCCTCCTGTCCATGGTGAAAGAAGATGGCCTGGCGGAACGTAAGACCTTTAATCACCCGCTGCATCTGATTGGCCGAAACCAAATATGCAGATCTGGATTTTTAAAGCCGCAGTGCATTTTTATATTCTTCCCTGCAGCAGTCGTTCAGAAGCTGAAGGAGGTCTGTGAAGCCTCCAGTGAAACCTGCTCCTCACTGCACCAGTGTCTGGGGCTGTTTTCCAAACAGGAAGGAGTATGTACCTATTTCATTGCGCACATTCATTGCTATGAAGCTACTTGAGGAGGTTTTTATAAGCGCCTGCTTGAAAACGGAGCCTTGGCACAGTGGTTAATGCATGTGTTGAATTCATGGTACTCACTTGGACTACACAGGTTCGAATTCGGATGCAACATGATCACCCCTTCTAACAATTTTATGTCCCCATTCCCTATATTTGTCAAATAAAGAGGCTAAAACCCCAAAAATAACTTTAAAAAAAGAAAAAAACAGCAGGTAAAGTCATTGTTAATGATCACAAATACACTGAAAGTATAAAACATTTTGTATAGTGAATTTTAAAGTGTGCCTTTGTTTTTCCAGGCACGCAGTTTGAAACTGGAGCAGGAGCTGGAGAAGAATAAAATCCTGTCGGAGGCTCTGCAGACGCTGGCCACGGAACATCATGAGCTGGAGCAGTCGGTGGTTAAAGGCTCGTCGCCCCGCAGCGTCCTCAGCGAAGACGAGTTCCACGACGCTCTGTCTGGTTCGTATGCTTGAGAGTAACAGCCAACCATTCAAACACTTACTGTGACAGTAAAGACATTTATAATGTTACAAAGGTCATTTTGAACTTTCTATTCATCAAACAGTCCTGAAAAAAATGTGTCATTTCCACAAAATTATTTAGCAGGACAACTGTTTTCAACATTAGTAATAAGAAATGTTTCTTGAGCAGCAAATCGGCATATTAGAATGATTTCTGGAAGATCATGTGACACTGAAGACTGGAGTCATGATGCTGAAAATTCAGCTTTGTGTCACAGAAATAAATTACATTTTAAAATATATTCTAATAGAAAACAGTTCTGTTGAATTGTAATAATATTTTACAATATTATTGTTTTTACTGTATTTTTGACCAAATAAATGTGAGCATTAGAGATTTGCCTCAGATGTTTGAACAGTAGTGTACTTTTTCTGTCATCGAACACTCACTTAAAATGAATCTTTAAAAACACAAATATATTAATAACACTGTTGTAACATTTCGTCTTTCACAAATCTCAAAATGAATTTTTCTTACTGTACATTATAATGTTGTGGTGGCTAAATGAACTTAAATGCATGATAAGTTTATAATAAGTAAACATAAACGTATGTATGTTTTTAAGTTGTGTAAAGTGTACAATATCTTAATATCAGCCATAACATTTAGAAATTATTATTATTAATAATCACCTCAGAATACTTTGAATAATTACATAGAAAAATTTGGCCAAGTATCATACAGAATTGTATTTATTTATTATTATTAATATATATATATGTGGCCTTTTGCCTTTTTTATTGTGCAGATATAGTTGTAGAGAGTGAAAGGATATAATTTAAATATAATTAGATATAATAAATTGAAAAAAATGAATAAAGTGTCTAATTTATTTGTAGCATTTGAATCATAAAATATGCAAATTTCTGCAACATTTTCAGGTGTACATTTTCCCTATTGAATAAAACAGTAGCGTGACCGAAAATTATTAGGAGGAGATACAGAGAATGTGATCAGAAAACTACATAGACCGAATTCAAACCTGTATTTCCCACATGAGCACCAAGGCTCAACAATGTCACCTTTCATAACAGTGAGTTTTATGAGTTTTCAGGCCAAGTTAATAAATGCATAGATTTAAGATATCATGATTACCATTTTTCATGTATTATATCCATGGTGTCCGATATAATTACAAACCATGAGCCTATGTGAAACTTGTCAGCCATATCAGAGCCTATGGTGTAATTGCTGTAACGAGGAAATCTTCAGATTGAGCTTCATAGGTATGTGGCACCTTTCTTAGGGACGTGTCCAGTCACTTCCGACTGTGTGGTTCCATTAAATGCCACCTGATCCCCTGCTCAGGTTTCCTCTGAGAGCCCGTTGCCGTCGGCCACTCATTGTCCCTCTAAGCCATGTCTGTTTGTGCTCGGTTGCTGCAGATTCGGACTCTGAGCCCGCGCTGAGCAGTTGTGAGAAAGCCGGCCATTCGTACGAAGACGGAGAGGACTTCAATTCCGAGCTCTACTGCAGCATCTCAAGTCATCTCAGCGGCAGGATGTCCCGGGAAGACCGTCGTGGAGAGGAAGAGGACGATGATGAGGTGGCCAGTGTTAACGGAGTGAGGAAACGCAGGTAAGAGTGCCTAAAACACAAACAACAAACTACGATACCATCTATTTTGCACCAGATATTTCTTGCGTAACAACATTAACTAAATATATATATAAAAAAAAAGAAAGTTAAAAGCGCAAAGAAAAAAAACTTGTACAATTAAACATACAAGTATACAAAAAAATGACGTGTCAGACGTAACATTCAGCCCAGTTTGTTTTTCAGTGTCACTTTGTTGTTATTTGTCTAGTTTCTTAGACGCAACTTCTCTGTGTTTTGTTTTGGTTTGTGGTAAATAATTTAGCGATCCGAGGCCAGAAGAGGCACTCATAATGAAATGGTAAAAGATTGATGAGGTAGCCGAGTTTAACGCTGTAATTTGAACTTTTAAGGCTCGGCATGTTGATTGACAGCCCATTGACTAATAGTTGACTGACTTTGCAGCCGATCACAAAGTTATTTTTATTTACTGGATAACTCTGTTTTATAATATTGTATTTCGAAATTGCAGGTTCATGTTCATATTACTTTTTTATTTTTTTTATTTTTAATGTTATTTGTCTAGTTTCTTAGACGCAACTTCTCTGTGTTTTGTTTTGGTTTGTGGTAAATAATTTAGCGAGCCGAGGCCAGAAGAGGCACTCATAATGAAATGGTAAAAGATTGATGAGGTAGCCGAGTTTAACGGTGTAATTTGAACTTTTAAGGCTCGGCATGTTGATTGACAGCCCATTGACTAATAGTTGACTGACTTTGCAGCCGATCACAAAGTTATTTTTATTTACTGGATAACTCTGTTTTATAATATTGTATTTCGAAATTGCAGGTTCATGTTCCTATTACTTTTTTATTTTTTTTATTTTTAATATATATTAAAAATGTATTTTTGTATATATATATATATACACACACACACACACACTCTTTTTACAATTTAAAATATTATTTTCATTGTTTATAAATGAACTGATCACAGAGAGTTATTTTTACTGGACATCTGGGTAACTATTTTATAATATTGTATTTAGAAAATACAAGATTACATATATATAATAAATGAACATAATGTTGTATTATGTAATTTAAAATTATTATTTCTTAAAATATATATAAAAATTTAGTTAACAGTATTTTATTGTTATATATTTCATAAATATGAAAACAAATATTCAAAATATGACATTATTTGACATTACATCATTGTTTATATTAGCAAGCTGAGTATATAAATAAATGATTTTATTTAAATATATACAAATTGTATTATTTATACAAATTTTTATATTTATATATATATATATATACTTTTGTTGTTTGTATATTAATACAATATATATATTATATTATATATAATTATATTTATATTAATATATAACAAGCATAAAAAGCAACAAGTAACTGCACAGCACATCTCTTCATTATTATGTTACATTCAGCAGGTAGTGTACAGTATAAAAAGAGCAGGTTTCTGTGTATCTTGAGCACTTTGAAACCGATCGGGACACTGACCTTGTTTTGCTGAATAAGATATAAAGCTTCCGTTACCTGTCTGATAACGCCAGTCTAGACGTGTTCCGTCTGCATGACAACAGCAGAAATGGTTACCATGGAAATCGCTAACTAGTATATATATATATATATGTATATATATATATACACACTGCCCGTCCAAAAAAAAAGTCACCACCTGGATTTAAGTAAGCCAATAGATAAGAGCCTCCCATTGGATAATTACTGCATGGATGATTATGTTTCAGCTGGCAACATGTTATTTAACCCTAACTGATGCCGTGAGTAGCTTCTCATTTCTTAAACAACCATGTCGGAAGACACCATCCTGTGGTCATGGAAAAGATGTTAATCTGTTTCAGAAGGGTCAAATTATTGGCATGCATTCTAATAGCTGCTGGGAATAAAGCCGGTCTAAACTGTAGATTTCTAATGTGTATTTTCTAAGTAAACGAATGTATGTGTTTTCTATCCAGTGTGTGGCCGCGTTTGCCGTATCAGCTGTGGCGTCTCAGTGGGAAAGGACGGGTAAACCCTTCAACCCCCTACTAGGAGAAACGTATGAGTTAGTCAGGTGAAAAATTCCAACCCTATCTGAATGCTAATTTGTTAGCATTAAGGTGCAGTCTCATTTATTGATGTTTGGTTAATGTTTGTGGGTGAAATCCAGTCATTTCTATAGTAATTCAGCCAATTGTGATTTTCATGTGAGGGTGAAAGATTTCCCCACACAGATTTCGCAACAGATTCAGTCATGCGTGTTGACCAACAGATGCTTGCTTTTAAAAGTGACTTCTGTGTGAATTGTGCTTCATACAGTGCTACAATATTGACAATGGACCCTTTTTGCCGGTGAAATTTTGCTAATGTGACCACACCTTTAATGTAAATTTAATGTTTGAATGTTAATTTGTTAGCATTTGTGTTAGCATTATCGTTAACATTGCAAGTGTGAGTTTTTTTGGCTTTTTTTAATGTTAATTTGTTAGCATTAGCATTGCAAATGTGAATATCAATATATCAATGTGTTGTGCTCTTGGGGATAATTACCATGTTTTTTCCTCAACCTTCAGGGATGATCTTGGTTTCCGGCTGATATCAGAACAAGTGAGCCACCATCCTCCCGTCAGCGCCTTCCATGCAGAGGGTTTGCAGAAGGACTTTGTGTTTCATGGCTCCATCTACCCCAAACTGAAGTTCTGGGGCAAAAGTGTGGAGGCCGAACCTAAGGGCATCATCACTCTAGAACTTCCCAAGTAAGCGTCTGGTCTCTGTGCGATGGCACTTTACTAATATCCACACATTGTTTTGTGAGGTTTCAGATGTTTTCGTAAATGTAGAATAAAGTTTATGAAAGTTATTGATGAATCATGATTTATGAACATGTTTGCACACAGATTTTGTGTGTATTCCCATTGTTTGAGACCCATTGTCGAATAATAAACTCGTTTCAGGCATAATGAGGCATACACATGGACGAACCCCACGTGTTGTGTCCACAACATCATCGTGGGACAGCTGTGGATCGAACAGTACGGCAGTGTGGAGGTTATCAACCACAGGTGTCAACGAGCCTCTTTAAATGTACTAGTTCTGGTTTAACTTAACAGACTTTACTAATGCAGACCTTTTGACTGATATTTGCCAACAGAACTGGTGAAAAATGCTGTCTGAGTTTCAAACCGTGTGGGCTTTTTGGGAAGGAATTACATAAGGTTGAAGGCTACATCCTGGACAAGAGGTCAGCTGTTTGGAGAGTTTAACTTCCATGATAAATGTTCCCGCCATCGCCACATTGCTATTTTACATTGATTACTTGTGTATTTCCATGCAGCAAAAAGAAAGTGTACAATCTTTATGGGAAATGGACGGAATGCATGTACATAGTTGACCCAGCTACATTTGAAACCCACAGGAAGAATGATAAGAAAGCATCAGAAGACAAGAAAAGCAGTAAACAGGTGTTTCTGAAAGTTTTCATACGACATTAGTCAAGATACCCATCAATTATAATGCTGAATGCTTTAAATGAAAGAGATATACTGTATGGTTTATAATTGTTTGCTTGGTGTTTCTCAGTCATCAGACTCAGAAGAAACACCTCAGCTAGATGGAGATTCACTAGAGGTTATTCCAGGAAGTCAGTTGCTCTGGAGAATAGCACCTAGACCAGTAAACTCTGCCCAGGTCCGTTCCAGAATAGTCGAAGCTCTGGGAATCCTTGTCCCAGAAAAATCTGGGTTACAGTGAGGCACTTGCAATGGAAGTGAATGGCGCTTTAAAATAATCAGTTTCAATTTTATAGCAACAAGACATGAACAATATGAGAGTTTGCGTGATTTTAAACTAAAAAAGTACTATTTGTGTGTACATTTTTTAACTTTGGCATCATGACATCACCGTAAACCCCAAAATGACTAAAATAAGTTAAGAAAATGTACAGCTCAAATAATACAGAAGTTTTAACTGAAGAATTTGTAAACGTTAAAATAATCACGATTTCAATAGTACAGCCACAACACGTGAGCAGTATAGGTGTTTACAGGATTAAAAAAAAAAAAGTGTACAAACCTTTTCTGTGTAAAATTAAACATTTACGGTTAATTTTAGAAAATTGTATGCTGCAAAAATTGGCTCATTGTAAGTGCATCACCATGTTTTTAAAGAAAACAAGGGATGAGTGGAAATTATTTTTGTGTTAATCAAAATATGCCACAAAATGCTGTCGATGTGCAACTGAATTTTCCACTTTTCTGTATTTTGGTTTTATTTGCATAAAACAGATGTACAACTTCACTACATTCGCAATGCAGCTCAATGAGCTGGACAAAGAGATTGAAGTGGTCATCCCAAAAACGGACAGCAGACTGAGGCCGGACATACAAGCCATGGAGAATGGAGACATCGGTGTGTGTGTGTGTGTGTACCGCTTTGTGCCATTGCTGATGATGTCTTGATATTTCTAAGTCATACTTCATATCCTTAGAACCTATCACAAATGAGCTGCATTTAAATATTCAGAGGTTGAATAACTTTCCGTTTTGAACATCTTAGACCTGGCCAGTGAGGAGAAGAAGAGATTGGAGGAGAAACAGAGGGCGGCACGTAAGAACCGCTCTAAGTCGGATGATGAGTGGAAGATGAGGTGCAGAAATATTTCGTATTTTCACATTTCGCGGTTTGCTTATTCAAAAAGTTACTACAGTTTAGGGATGGGCAATATGGACTTAAAACTATATCACAACATTTTCTGGTATTTATTGGGATAATGATATCAATGACGATAATTCATATGCATCCACTGAGAGACAAAAAAAAACTGTGTTTCTTTAGAGAGAGGTATTATCTTTCCTGTTTTTTTCCAAAAATAAGGTGTTGTGAGCACACATGTAATGTCTGTTTCATTCATACTGGAAGCCAGAGGGCGCCCTTGTGCATAAACTCCACAGAAGTAATAGAACTGATGATGTTCCAGGAAATCCCTAATATGGACAAAAGGTATCCAGCTATCACTGTAGCTGAGAAAAAAGATAGAAACACTTGAACTAATCAAACATGAAGACAATAAACACATGACTATGCCAATATATCGTTTATCTGTATTCTTCAAGCCATCTTGGGTATTTTTATAAGAATAAAGCATATTTATAATGCGAATCGACATAGCCTTTATCACTGTAGAATACCATAAAATAGTATGATTTCTGCCTCATTCTGTGATATGAAACCACTTCTGGTCACAAAAATAAGTTATTTCAAACATTCGACTGATGTTATGAAGTGAATTTGGAGTTAAAGTATGTCAATAAATCTCTTTGTTGGACAACAGGTTTGTAAACTCATACACATGCAAAACTGTACTGCAAATGTGCTACTGTAGTGCATTTAATCATCGCACAGACCGATTTTTTATTGCACTGTACAACCCTGGCCGAACCAGTTTCAGATTATAAAGGCAGCTCCTCATTTAGCTGTAAACTCCTCCTCAGTTTCACACCCGCCTTCCGCCATGTCACTCCGCACGGTCACCCACAGAAATATGTCAACAACTAGGCTCCATGAGGCCGTAGGGTGTCCCATTTGTCATTTTAGCTTTGCAACTGCTATGCGCCCTTGATGCGCACTGAGGCGAGCTCTGCGGCAGACTTCTACCCGACAGTCAAAGCGGCATTACGTCACTTAAGTGTGGACTCAGAGGAAGACCGCAAGGGTTTAGGGTGCGATTTGGGACAGGGCCTAGGTTTATCATTATTATCGCTGGAAGACTAATTCTTATCGTGGGGAGAATTTTTGCCGGTATATCGCAAACAGTAAGACATTGCCCATCCCTACTACAGTTATTGTTAATACTCAAAAATTATAATAAATGAATATGGGATCTCCTTCAAACAGTGCTTTTTGAAATCATTAATTTTGTTTTTTGATGAACATATAAAATAGCAGTAAAAATTACTGTAGTAACTAAGATGCGCATGTAACACCTTTTTGTATTATTAGGGTTTGCTTGTGACTAACTGCATAACAAATTCTATTATTTATACTAAATTTGGTCATTTATTTATTTATTAGACCATTTTCATCCATAGCTTAACAGTATCTACTTAAGTAACTCATTGATGTTTAACGGCACTTAGTCCTGGTTCACTAGACACTGTCCTATGCATTTAACCCCATTTTCCCCTTCATTTCTTCTGCCATTATCATCTGTCCTCTGACTTTGCTGCGGTGAGCAGAAACGTCACCTCTGGCCCCAGGTTTGATGCTTGCTTTGTTGCTCTGTCTTTTGCATTCAACTGTTTCACTCCAGAATCGAATTTAATTGCCTTGAGCAACTGGGATCTATCCACAGTCTGTAATTATAGCACAAGACAGGATGTTTGTGGTAGAACAGCATGCGTAACAATAGTCCCATACATAATGATAGTAAAACATTTGTTTTGTGTATAAGGGTTCACCATTATGAGCTTTCAAAGACTATTTAAAGATAATTTATGATGGAAAACAACTAGAGAACTTTTAATACTAGTATTATACTAAATGTATACATAGTATGTCTTATCTACAGTCTTTTTGTCATATGTAAATGGAACTTCACACCAAAGGAATGAGTTGTTGTTTTTTTATGTCCCCCTTAGACAATCTATTTTTAATGTGGAATAAGACTATGTAAACAGAGCTCTCTGGCCTTCTACTGCGAGAGCAGGTTGAAACTTTACACCTGGTTTAAGTGTTACAGCCAAATGCTCCACCGAATCTATTGAACAAAGAACGAGACTGTTCTAGTAGGGGTCAAAGAAAAAAATTTTTGACACTTGTTTGGCTGTTGAGTTGACTGAGCCCAAGCGACTCAATGTGACAAAACTAGAACAATCCCATTATAATCAGTGTTTTTATGTGTTTGCTGAACTGAACCTTTTCTCGTTGCCTGAAACAGGTGGTTTCATCAAGGTCCAAATCCACACAACGGCTCTCAGGACTGGCTGTTCTCCAATGGCTACTGGGACCGTGATTATTCCCAATTACCAGACATCTACTGACCTACAGGAAACAATTGTATAGTCAAGACTACCCAAAATGTAACTATAAAACTGTGCACCCTGTGCTGGTTGGCCAGGTGAACATTCAAATATCATAAATAATACACCGTTTCAAGAGAGAACTTTAATTTAAGCTTACTGAATTTAGTTTTACACGGTTTCATATTTAAATGCATATGTAATAACCAAGGGTTTTAGGAACTACAGATTGTGACATATAAAAGATGATAATCACAAGTTGGGCTTGATATAGTAATATCAGTGTACTGTAATAGCAATAATGGTTCTGATTTAGTCTTATGAAAAATGTCTTATGAATTTTTTTTTTTTTAAGATCTGTTAACAGTTGTAGATTTTGGGTGCTCCCCAAGGCTCAAGTCTGAGTCTGTTTTGTTTTCGGTTCATTGGCTTAAAAATTAACTTGGCATTTCTTGAGTTGGAACATTCCCACTGTGTTGAGTGTGGAATGTGGTATTAAACAACTGGTTGTGAAAATGACAAATTCAGAGTTTCTATTCTCCACGTACAATACAGTATTAGGACAGTGTGTCTATTTCTGCTGCTCTTTTTGTTGTGATGTTGATTTTTATTTAGAGAGATGCCTCTGCGGTGTTACTAATATATTGATTAATGTCGTTTGTTATATTATAATATAACAATCTTATTTAAATTATGCATTTATCATGAGTTAGTTATTCATCTATTTTTACATTTTTAAAGTATAAAGGTGGTCAGAAACATGAAGCGGTACTGACCATTTGATGCGGTCTACTCTTAACCCCATTATCAGTTTATTTTCTGTGTGTGTTACATGTGTGTGTATATTTTCTTATCAAAACAAAAGTGCCTACAGATGATGAGCAGAATAATTCTGTGCATAAAAGGCATTAAATATTGTATTTAGATCTATATCTAAAAAATAAAAACCTAAAAAAAAAAGTGTGTGAGCATTTAATACAATATATGCGCTTACAACCATAATGTTAAGCTGAATGAAAACATGATTGTCGTATTTAAATGTTTATCCTTCTGAATATAAAGGTTTTACATTTAAATGGAAATAAATCAACTTTACCTGCAGAGTAGTTAAACTGCACAAACAATAAAGTGCCACTTCGTTGCGGTCAAATGACAGACATTTGCAAGTTTTTTTTCCACTTCATCCAGCACTTTTCTTGTTTTAAATCTCACAAAATATCCCATTACTAATTCGGTGTGAGAAATGATTTAGCAATTGTGTAAACTGTCCTAATTGGACCGACCATCGGCTTGCCACTGGTGCTCCGACGGAGGCGTGCCACCCAAAAAACACTGGCAAACATCAGCATTTTTAGATAGGTCGGTTTGACGACGGTGGTCCGATCGTGCCAAGCCTCTGAATTTGTGCCGCCCAAAAAATGCTGGCAGACCGTCATTGTTGGCTAGGAATGAATCAAACTGAATCGCAAAGAGTTTTAGACCATTTTGCAAACCTGTTGAACCATTAGATCAAAAGAGTGATTGATTCATGAATCTGGCATTACAAAATCTTCTAAACAGCTGAGAGAAAACATGCAAGGACTTAACTGATGAAATATTATCAGAAATATTCTCAGCTCGATATATGGTAATCCACGTAAGGATTAATCAATAATACTTTACTGAGATGCACAACTAAAAAAGGTCTAGTGACGCCCCTGGTTCTTTTGTTAAAATATGATTACCATAGTTTATTCTATTTTATCATCGCCATTTTCTATTAAAATATTAAAAGATAAAAGATTTTTTTTTTGTCTATTCTAAATCAAATGGGGTGGATATGGAAGGCCGCTTCTGCCACTGAAAAAAAAAAAAGAAGAAAAAAAAGGTAATTGCTTGTTTATATCTCAAAATTTAATTCATCTGTCTTTAACGTGTTGGTAAGGTCACCAGAAAAGTTCACTAATAGCTAGGGGGGGGGTTTCAGATAATCTCACGTACAATGTTTAATGGCAAGTTTCGTTATTTTATTATTGAAATTTCCTAATTCTATTGTCCTCACAAGGTATAAATACCCTGCACATCCAATATTGACACGTTTCACAGTGAAGACATGTTTTGAGCATCTGGAGTTACTGACAGAGAGACCAGAGGGAATCACGTACAGCAGTGAATAAAGCCCAAAGGCGGGACAGACGTTACAGCTACGGGCCGAGAAAAGAAGAAGGTGCAAGTTTCACAACAATTTCACAATATATACACCAACTCAAATCAATTCAAGTTATTCAGAGGTGACATTATCAAAAAGAGATACTGACGTGCTGTTAAAAGTCTATAAACGATACGCCTGGGCCAAAAATATTACAGAACATCTGGCACAAAAAAACAAATACAACTTACAGCTCGTCAAAAACAAGGTCCAAAATGAAATGACCTGCTCTGGCCCAGAGGAAGACCAGTAGGTAGTTGTGCATGGTTTTCACTTCAGAAAATATCTGCTGACCAGCAGAGGATATGAGAATTAAAGTTATGGCAAAATTAAGCTGCTGTTCTCGAACTTAATACACAGAATAGCAGATTTGATGAAATATGTTCTATATCCCACGTACATAAGGTTTACAAAGGGAACACATGGTTTAGTGTTAAAATGAAACTTTGCAATACATACAATGAAAACAGCCAACCTTGAATGCAATGCGTTTTAACCTGCAAAAGCGTCTTCAAGTCGACTAATGACAGACCGATATATCAGACCGATTCATCAACCAATATCTGACCATTTTGGCTGAATAAAAAAGCGGCACTTTTTATTTAGAAAGAAAGACAGACATACAAATATTAGATTTTATAGAATTTTTGTATTTTTAATTTATGGAGCGAAGTTCAGTAATCCTATAAGTGATTTTCTATCTATCGATATACACACATAAAATGTAATATTTTACTGAAAATTACATGTTAATTATACATTTCTTATTATTATTATCTATTATAATAATTAGTATTAATAATAATATATAATTAATAAATTATTATTATTTACTGAAAATTACATGTTAATTATACATTTCTTATTATTATTATATATTATAATAATTAGTATTAATAATAATATATAATTAATAAATTATTATTATTATATATATATATATAATTTTCTTTAAAAGTATTAACATTTATTTATATGATTTAAAAAGTATATCAATACCACTGGCTCCAAATTCAGGTCAATTGAATTTTGTACGTAATTTATGGAGCAAAGTTCGGTAATCCTATATTGAAGTTTCCATCGATCTATCTATCTATCAATATGCAAAATGTAATATTTTTACTGAAAATTATATATAATTAATAATTATTTATTATATGTAATTTTCTTTTAAAAATATTAACATTCGTTTATTTTAAAAATATATGATTAACACTACTTGCTCCAAAAAAAGGTAGATAATTTATCATTTTAAACAACAATTTAAATATTTTTTTCTGACATACATATATATATATATATATATATAAAATAAAGAAAAATACATATAATAATTTAAAAAATAATATAGTTACACTTTATTTTAAAGTGTCCTTGTTACAGTGTAATTAAGTAATGAGTAATATTAATTAACACGGTTGGTTTGGTTTAGGGTTAGTTGCATATAATTAAGCAGAATTTACTAATTATTATAGAAAGTAACAAGGACGCTGTAAAATAAAGTGTTACGGAATCATAAATAATTAACTATAATAATTATTTTAATATCCTTAACTGAACACAGATTTTATGCAAATTGGACTAATTATGTAATTAAACATTTATTTCAGTGAAATCATAGCATGGCCATTTCGGTCTCATATCGGTCGGCCATTACACCAGACGCATACAAACTTGATTTGACATACAGGTAGTTATTGGTAAGTTTGGAAACTACTATTTCTTGGAGATAAAGGGTTACACAATATACATTTCATTTTTATGTATTAATGTTATCTAATGTAGAGTTCTAGCCCATGCTAATGTGTTTTGTATGATAGCGCAAGCTCTGGGAAAGGATCTAGCCAGTTGGTCTACTCTTGTGTTTCTTTGTGAGAGTTATGTTTTCCTGCACTTCTGCAGATCAATCCTGAACACACATAATCTGTGGATCTGCACTATGACGTGGGTGTAAATGTGAACATGAAAATGAGATTAGATCACTGGGACCAACAGCTACATGAAGACTGAACCTTTTCACTACTAGGCTGAAAAATATTGGCAAACTCGTCCTCTGTCACCTGAAATCCGCTGACTTTCAGTTTCTCCCTCCAGAAAAGCTGGATTACTTCAAATGGCTTTCGTTTCAAAAAGTGCTGGACAGGAGCTCTTCTGAGGTGGGACGGACGGGTCAGTGAGGGACCACTTCCTTTATGGAGGCGAGGGCAGAATGGATGCGGACGTGCAGCCTGTTCTCGAAGTCGTACCCGGCGTAGTTCTCCTGCAAGCAAAGCTAGTCACCACCTGAACGCAATTTACTGACGTATTCAAGATACTAATCGCTGATGTCTTACAGTCTTACCTTGGCCTGAAGCAGCAATGACCTTCCTTTACTCAGGGTCTTAAAAATGAAATTAATTTAAAAGATTAAAGAAAGAAAGAAAGAAATCAAGTATGTGTTAAAAAAAATAAATTTCAATAAATAGATTTAATAAATATAATGCACAATATCATTCTCTATTTATTTTAATATAATTCCACAACATTTTAAAAGATATATTATGTAAATGATATATAAATATATAAACTAAAACCTGAACTCCTAATATCTATAACTGAAAATAATACTTATTTTAAAAATGATCACAAATGGATGAATTATCAAAAATACTGTATAAATAAATATGGTTTTTAAATTCACTGTATTTACATACACATAAATGAAGTAATTATACATTTATATTTAAGCTAAAACAAAATCATAATTAATTTAAAAAAATTGTGTATTATATATATATATATATATATATATATATATATACACACACACAGATATAATATATATAATCATAAATTATAGTTATTGAATCCACTGACTCTCAGTTTCTCCCTCCAGAAAAGCAGGATTACTTCACATGGCTTTCGCTTCAAAAAGTGCTGGACAGGAGCTCTTCTGAGGTGGGACGGACGGGTCAGTGAGGGACCACTTCCTTTATGGAGGCGAGGGCAGAATGGATGCGGACGTGCAGCCTGTTCTCGAAGTCGTACCCGGCGTAGTTCTCCTGCAAGCAAAGCTAGTCACCACCTGAACGCAATTTACTGACGTATTCAAGATACTAATCACTGATGTCTTACAGTCTTACCTTGGCCTGAAGCAGCAATGACCTTCCTTTACTCAGGGTCTTAAAAATGAAATTAATTTAAAAGATTAAAGAAAGAAAGAAAGAAATCAAGTATGTGTTAAAAAAAATAAAAAATGAATTCCAATAAATAGATTTAATAAATATAATGCACAATATCATTCTCTATTTATTTTAATATAATTCCACAACATTTTAAAATATATATTATGTAAATGATATATAAATATATAAACTAAAACCTGAACTCCTAATATCTATAACTGAAAATAATACTTATTTTAAAAATGATCACAAATGGATGAATTATCAAAAATACTGTATAAATAAATATGTTTTTTAAATTCACTGTATTTACATACACATAAATGAAGTAATTATACATTTATATTTAAGCTAAAACAAAATCATAACTAATTTAAAAAAATTGTGTAATATATATATATATATATATATATATATACACACACACAGATATAATATATATAATCATAAATTATAGTTATTGTGAGTTTATATTAAAATAAAACAAACTCAAACTCTTAATTACAATTTTAAAACAATTGTGTATTATGTGTGTTTATACACACACAGAGATATATCATATTTATAATTCTAGTTTATGTTTAGTTTATATATATATTTTAATTTATATTTAAAGTTTACATAGAAACAAACTCACAACTATTATGAAAAAAATTATAAATTAGAAAATACTACATAACGTTCATATTAAAAATGATGTTATTATATAAATAATACTATACATATACAGTGGGTACGGAAAGTATTCAGACCCCCTTAAATTTTTCACTCTTTGTTATATTGCAGCCATTTGCTAAAATCATTTAAGTTAATTTTTTT